TGACAGCTCAGCGTTACATGGATGACGTCCTTCTTCCGACTGCCCTACCTTTTCTACAACATGGTGTCTTTTATCAGCATAACAACGCCAGACCCTATACAACCCGAATCGTACAGAACTTTTTTGCAGCCAATAACGTCAACGTGTTGCCGTGGCCTGCACGCTCCCCAGACATGTTCCCCATAGAACATCTCTGGGGTGACCACATCCTCCAGCCATCCGACAACAACTGATCCAGGTCCTCCGAGGAGAATGGCGATGTATCCCACGTTACGTCATCAGACGCCCCCGGGAGGTGTTTGCATGCCTTGTATTAGGGGGTGACGTGTCATTGAACTTGATCGATTTTAGATGTGTGTGCCCTTTGTCCCTTACGTTGAAAGCTTGTTTTTGCTATCTCACCTCAATTCGGGCAAATGTCATGTCAATATCGGATCCTGTATAACTGTCATTTTCAATGTTGATTTCGTTGAGATGTTCCCGTGTGTCTTTTAGGTTAACAATTGACTTGCCTTTGCATGTGTTTGTGACATGTGACTCCAGTGGGACAGGTCACGCTCACCTTTCTGCAAACACCACTACTTGATAGCGATTCTTAAAAACATTCTTATAGTATCGTCGGAATGGTTATAGAAAGGGTTTTGACGCTTTTAATTTCTTCATTCATTTTCGAAGGACAAATAATCCGTAATTTCGATTTTCGATTAGATTATTCCTTTCTATGACCCCTTGCCAATGTAACTAAATGTTCAGATACCGTAGCGTTATCAATGTGTGCTGTCGTGACATGTGCATGACGACATATTCACGATACCCCTTTTTTAAGAATCCTAAAAATGACTACATTCGAGACTTTTGTAGATATCGGCTATACTATGTGCATAAATTTAACAACCCAGGGACTATTCCAGTTGCTTATATATTTTCAACAAAACTGGACGCCAAATGCCAAATAACACGATCCATTCTTCCTTTTCCAAAATCTATTTCCGCGCTTACCTAATGTCCAGAGAAGGCACGGCACAGCTGACTGATCACAACGTGCCAGAACAGAGGTGACCAGATCCATCAAGCGGACAAGTCTCCGTGACCGACATCAAGCAGGGTCTCCCAGGCTTAGCTGTCTCCAAGTCCCCGGGGCCTCTCCTCATCCCCGGGGGGATCAAGGTAGTGTTACACGACCCTTTGAATTTATCAAGCCGATGTCGTCCAACATTAGTCGCTACTTGAGGGAGAGAAGAGTGACGATGTCGCTGAAGTTCAGGCAGGGGCCATCGACGGCGATATGTAACCACGGACAATGGAGACGCCTTTTGTACCATCGCCCCGGGGACAATGCTGATGGCATGAACAATGTTAATTTCATCTTTGTAATCACATATACCAGTAGGTAGGCCCATAAAACCTGGGTCTGCTGGAGGGAATGTCTGACATGTGGCATACTTGTCCTTGCTTGGGGGAATATGTACGTGTAATTTATTAAAAACGTAAAGGGGAGGGGGAGGGGAGGATGTGGGGTGTATGTTGTGAGAGGTTGGATGTCTGGGGGTGGAGAAGAGTGGAAGGAAGGGAGAAGTGTTTGAGGTGGGTGACGAGAAATGGGGTTTAATGTCCCGTACAAGATTATTGCACTTATATAGCAAAGTGCATGCACGTGTGTATGTGTGTGACTGCTTGTACTAGTCCGGACAGATGCCGATTTATAGTGCTAGCCCACTGAGATACCATGCCGCAGTTTAAGTGAGTACCCTACTCAGACACAGTATACTGACTCCGAGCCGATCGGTCCTTATTGTAGCCCCTTAATGCCGAGCGGTCCTTGGTATGACGTCTTATGGTAATTACTCAAGTAGTATAAAATACTACCGGGCGGACGCTCTACCACTAGACCACGGAGGCGGTCTTGTGAGTTAGAGGGGTGTGAAGAGATAAGATGTGTGGTCGGAAGGGAGGGGTGGATGGATGGAATAAAGAGTTGGGATGTGTGGCGGGTATAGAGGGTTGAAGGGGTGTATGTGTGATCCTTGGTTTGCCTGCACTCTACAGATTCAACAGCTTCACCATCTTTGGTCTTTCCTCCGAAGTTGGCCCGACCTTCCTATTACTGATATACTGTTTGAGGCAGCCTTAAACTAACTCCCTCGTTGAGCTATTCTTTCCTGCGAGAAGTCCACATGCATTGGAGTCATTAACTCTCCTTGTCGTCTTGCACATCTTTATACACAGAGAAGGCATGTTTAACGTTGGAGTTAATATTTCACATTTAATCGCCTGACTGTACATGGTGTAAAATGAGAACCAATACGTTTTGATTATAGTAAACATTTTATGACATCGACAGCGCAGTGATAGTGAAGGAGCTCATTTCAATGTTCTTCACAGGATTAGATTCTTTTATCGATGAACGGCGCCTTGTACGGCTAAAGAACTCTATGACATATTCAAACGGTCTCGTTGACCTTTCGAGTTATTTTATCAAACACTCAGTGTCAGGACACTATGACCGAAGGCGTGTGTACTCGCCCACCCACAGCAGAGTAATTGCAGTAATAAATCGTCTATTTATCTGTTAGTTTGTCGTCGACACAGCAGTGTCTGGGTCATAGAGTGGCATGGTGGTTTAGGTGCAAGTCTGCCCAACAGATTTCACGGGTTCGAATCACAATAGAACAGAGGGAGTGAATCTGCTTCCAGGTTGTCACGCCATTGCATCAATGTAAGTACAAACAACATTAAAGCCTGGATCCCTTGACATCGTTAACCAGACGTACCAAATCAGATTCTCCAGATCGGTCGTTGAGTGATGTTGACCATCATGTCCCAAATACAGTCATGTGTGCGTAGATTGACCTAGACCTTGACCCATCATGGCGGAGCGGCGCGGCTTGACACATAGAACCTCTGCTTATGAAGTTTGTTTTTTTCTAGTGAAGTGTGTATTCCACGTCCCCTATGTCGTCCCAGACAGCCGTCAATGATGTTGATTACCGCAGTCCAGAGAGTCACAAGGCAACAGGACTAGTATGTCCCAGTAGACATAGCGACTGTTAGTGCATGTCGTATCCCAACTGCATGGATCGACACTCATAATGTCAATCAAGGGATTGTCAGGTCCAGGTTCGAGTATTTACAGACTGCCGTCTAATAGCTCGAATATGGTTAGGTGCGGCGTTAAACACCAAAACAGCAAGTAAAGACACTGGGACTAGTATGTCCCGGGAGTCATTTGGACAGGTCTGTGACCGACGGCGACTCATTCTACATGCTAGGTTTGTGGGCAATGATCCTCTCTCAGTGAAAGCAAAGTGTCGTCCGATACGGCTCCCATTGTTCACAGCTGATGTCTTTAAGCCAACACAGGACCCTGCCACAGAAAGGCTTAGCTGTGTGTCAGTGTGATAGTCGCCGCTGTCGTTGTCGAACACCTTGTGCGACTCTGGCAGCTGATGTAACCTGTCGTGGTTGTCAGTCACGTGACAGAGATGACACAATATGTGGCCCGTCATGCCCTGTTTCGTTGGAGCCCCATCTATTCCTGACAGCGTGTTCTTGATGTTATACACGTACATTACGTAACATGTACCAAAAGTTATGTTGGAATATTTTCTTGACAAAAAAAATTGCTGAAGACAAGTTACAGTTGCAATGGATACATGTGAGAACGGTAGCTGAAGACGGGAGCCAAGTTCATGACAGCTAGACTACCCTTTAGAATTGGGTCATATCCGATACAACATTATCTTCTGTTTTACGTATTTAAGTGATCAACGTGTTGTTGAAAAAAGTGAGCGAGTGAATATTGATTAACGCAGGAGTCAGGATTAGTCTATTATAGCACGGCGCCCTATAAGTAATTGATTCTGAACTAGGCAAACGAGTGGTTGATATCATGAGCAACGCCGGCGGGGTAAGATGACACAAGTCACGGAGACTGCCCACCTGTTACGGAGCCTGTGTCGTTACTCGTAACCTGTAAACCCAACGTGGTCACATTAGAAAGGAATTGTTCAACTTAGTTGAAACATTAAGAGGCCTCGGATCCGGTATCTGAGCGTTGAATTGGTCAGCCAAACTCGGACTTCAGGTAACAATTGAAATATTAGCATACCTGAGGTCGAAGTGCTCCAACACATTTCAACCATGGCCAACAATAAAAGATCATTAGTACCTAACATGTTGCAATATCGATATTTTTAAAACTGTATTCAAAAACTCGTTGATCAAGTGCACTGTGATTCGTCTCAGCGTGATACAAGTGTAATTAATATCTGCACCTCGCTGTTTGGCGATTCGGGTTAAAAAATGCATGTCCCGTTGGCAAGGACCAACGCAAGCACATTTACCAATCCCTAACTACTTTTCCGCAATGACAGGCTTTTTATGAGCTGACAACTTTATCAAGAAAGTAATACATTAAAGTAACACAAACACATTCAGTTTGGTCTATTATTAAAGTCAATGGTAGAAAAAATGTTTCGTCACTGCTAAGTGCTAGTGGTTATGTCATCGTATCCAGATAGCTTAGATTGATGATCATGATGTGAGTCACTGGACTGTACGGTCCAGACTCGATTAGTAACAGACTACCCCCATATAGCTCGAATGTGAGTGTGGCGTTACAGACCAAACAAACAAAACAATAAACAGTATCTTACATGGGGTTTGGGGATTACAAAATGTGTCTTAAGTAATGTAATATACTGAACCAAATTAAAAACTTCACAATCCTAAAATTTTAACATTTTGACCAGTTATCATTGTGGGCCCTTATTGTGTATTTAAACAGTAATGGCCACGTATTGTCTTCAATTAACACCCGTTTTTGTGCAGGTGAATCGATCAAAATCATGTGCACAGCACTATAGTGGCAAAAGTGTTAACCTCTGGATTTCCTGAACCAGACTCGATTATTTCCAGTGACCTGTATATAGCTTGAGTATCGCTGACCAATGCGTAAAACAACAGTCAGGCACTCAACATTGATTCCTATCTATTTCCAGGGTCACATCTCCGGCGGCTGTATCAACCCTATAAGGAACTTCGGCCCCGCCGTGGTACTGGGAAACCTCAAGTATCAGTGGGTAAGTATATTTACACAACTTCATTTGTAACCAGCTGCCACTTTTGATATCCAGACCGCCTCCATAGCATAGTGGATAGAGCGTCTGCTAGAGAATGCTTGGTGGTGCCATCCCAGCCCGAATCATACCAAAACACTTAAAAGATTATACATGTTATTACCCTGCCTTGCTTTCCGCATTAAGGGGATACAGCAGGAATTGGTCTGCTCCTGTGCCTGATTGGGGGTATCTCTGTTAAACTTCGGCATGATATGTCAGTGGTTTAGCACTATGAAACTGACATTAGTCCGAACTAGTACAAGCAGCCTCACATACTTGCCCGCACATGTGCATGCACGTCGCTATAAAAGTGCAATGACCTTGAATGAGACGTTAAACCCCATTTCAACCTCACCTATGATATATTACCCTCACCTATAGCTCTAAACCCTTGTCACTTTCCGCATGTTTCTTCAAGACTATGAGTTCATGCGTGACTTTTAAAGTTTCATTGCTCTAGACTGCTGGATATGATTCACTGTGATAATGATGCGTGTCTTGCCGGCAGATCTACTGGGTGGGGCCAATGGTCGGCTCTGTGCTCGGGGGACTGCTGTATGACAAGGTGTTCTCCGTGGCTGCAGAGAAGCACGGCCTGCTGAGCTGCGTAAAGAGCCGCCCATACCAAGCCGTCATCATGGACGAGCCAGACACCATCGAGAAGGAAATAGAATTGCGAACCGGAAGTATTTCCTCGAGTGACCTCCCGAAGAAGCAACCTTATTCCGAATCCATCGAGAGAATAGCTTCCGTTTAGGGTCAAATATATAGTGCACGAAATTATAGTACACGTGTACAGTGACTTTGCCTTGAAGCACAGCAGTGTTATCTGATTAATGAATCCAATGATTTATGAAATGACTGCAATGGTAATGTGTACGTCACGATGACGTGTTTACATAATATACATTTCAATATATTTAACTACTTATTTAATGTGATCTTAAATAACCGACATGTCACCGCCGACTCTTAAAACACACAATGTTATATTGGAACCTAGTAAATTCACACATGATAGCCAATCCTGTGACACACCTCTTAGTTTGTATTTAGGGACAGGCTATGTGACTAGTCAGTACTAGGGATGCGCAGATCGTCGCCGGAATACCAGAGTCACCTACGAGTGCTGGAATATTGAGGGGAAAGTGAATATACACAGCAGCTGTTGGCGACTTCATTAGCTTCATCGGTATAGATTCATTTACATATTATTTTATTAACTGGAGATCTCTGCATCCTCATCATGTATTCCCTGTGTGATGACCCATGCATCACCGATATGTTTTTATTGTGCCGAGTCAGAGAATATAATCTGTTTGTCTACACAGAATCAGTAAAAGCTCTATGCAGTTCGAGAGATGGCTAAACGCCTATTGAAACAATAGTCAGCAGTCACGGCTTCTGTGGGGTCCATACCCAAACTAATGTCGTTGGCGATTTAATCTTAAAGCATACAAGAGATCAATAATGCTAACATTATCAGGTTGAAATCTGAGATTCACACCACGATCAACAAGTAGCTATAGTCGCTAAGTGATCTAAGATTCCTATAGATAGCCGAGACTAAGGTATATATCCCGCACGCCTTTCAACTCTTACACAATCTTTTATTAATTTTGTTATATAATAAACTATTTTCTTACATACGTTCTGCGTTTTGTTTTGGCAAGTTTCTCTCAAATCCTGGTTGCCTGGAAGTGCTGCAGGTTGCTCCCCTTGTTATTCTTGCAGCGATGCAGGTTGCTCTCCTTGTTATCCTGGTAGTGATGCAGGTTGCTCTCCTCGTTATCCTGGTAGCGAAGCAGGTTGCTCTCCTTGCTATCCTGGTAGCGATGGAGGTTGCTCTCCTTGCTATCCTGGTAGCGATGCAGGTTGCTCTCCTTGTTATCCTGGTAGTGATGCAGGTTTCTCTCCTTGCTATCCTGGTAGCGATGCAGGTTTCTCTCCTTGCTATCCTGGTAGCGATGCAGGTTTCTCTCCTTGTTATCCTGGTAGTACTGCAGGTTGCTCTCCTTGTTATCCTTGCAACGATGCAGGTTGCTCGCCTTGTTATCCTTGCAGCGATGCAGGTTGCTCTCTTTGTTATCTTGGTAGTGATGCAGGTTGCTCTCCTTGTTATCCTTGCAGCGATGCAGGTTGCTCGCCTTGCTATCCTTGCAGCAATGCAGGTTGCTGTCTTTGTTATCCTGGTAGCGTCTCAGGTTGCTCTCTTTGTTATCTTGATAGTGGTGCAGGTTGCTCTCCTTGTTATCCTGGTAGTGCTGCAGGTTGCTCTCTTTGTTATCTTGATAGTGGTGCAGGTTGCTCTCTTTGTTATCTTGATAGTGGTGCAGGTTGCTCTCTTTGTTATCCTTGCAGCGATGCAGGTTGCTCGCCTTGTTATCCTGGTAGTGCTGCAGGTTGCTCGCCTTGTTATCCTGGTAGTGCTGCAGGTTGCTCGCCTTGTTATCCTGGTAGTGCTGCAGGTTGCTCTCCTTGTTATCCTGGTAGTGCTGCAGGTTGCTCGCCTTGTTATCCTGGTAGTGCTGCAGGTTGCTCGCCTTGTTATCCTGGTAGTGCTGCAGATCGCTCTCCTTGTTATCCTGGTAGTGCTGCAGGTTGCTCTCCTTGTTATCCTGGTAGTGCTGCAGGTTGTTCTCCTTGTTATCCTGGTAGTGCTGCAGATCGCTCTCCTTGTTATCCTGGTAGTGCTGCAGGTTGCTCTCCTTGTTATCCTGGTAGTGCTGCAGGTTGCGAATTCCCCTGTTAGCCAACCTTAAGTACGGTCACTTTATGTTACCCAGCTTGTGTTGTACGGTTCTATGTTACCCCACAAGTGATGTACGGTTCTCTTTATGTTACCAAGCAAGCCTTGTACAGTTTAACGACACCCAGTTCTGACTTACCCAGCAGGTGTTGTACGGTTCTGTTTTACCCTGCAGGTGTTGTTCGGTTCTGTTTTACCCAGCAGGTGTTGTTCGGTTCTGTTTTACCCAGCAGGTGTTGTTCGGTTCTGTTTTACCCAGCAGGTGTTGTACGGTTCTGTTTTACCCAGCAGTAGTTGTTCGGTTCTGTTTTACCCAGCAGGTGTTGTTCGGTTCTGTTTTACCCAGCAGGTGTTGTACGGTTCTGTTTTACCCGGCAGGTGTTGTTCGGTTCTGCTTTACCCAGCAGGTGTTGTACGGTTCTGTTTTACCCAGCAGGTGTTGTTCGGTTCTGTTTTACCCAGCAGGTGTTGTTCGGTTCTGCTTTACCCAGCAGATGTTGTATGCATTGTGTTACCCAGCAGGGGATTACGGTTCTCTCTGTGTTACCCAGCAGGGAATTACGGTTCTCTCTATATAACCCAGCAGGGGATTACGCTTCTCTCTATGTTACCCAGCTGGTGGTGTACGGTTGTAATGCTACTAAGCAGGGCATATTTATCCCCAAGAACACGAGTAGCCATGTCGTCTAAGATACCGTTATTTTCTGTGAATTGTTCCGTCCCTAAGTTGTAACATGATGTCAATACATTGGGCTTTTATCCCAGATTCCCCGTATCATGACCAGTGGTTTGTCAGCACCATATCCGGGACACAGTTGGCCCAGTCGTCTAAGGCGCCGCGATTCGCTGTGCGTCCCTTGGGCACGCCAGACTCATATGGTTATGGGTTCGAATCCCGGTTCGCCCCGATTATGTTTCTAGGTTTGTCAGCACCATACCCGTGCTCGTGGGTTTCACCGAAGTGGTAAATTTCTGAGACCTGCATCACTTCGGGCTTTCCTTCCTCATTAAGCTGACACCGCGATATAACTGGAATACTGTTAAAGAAGGCGTTAAACCAAACTCACTCACTCACTCACTCACTCACTCACTCACTCACATCCGTCCACGTTGGTTTCACCATATTGTCAAATTTCCGAGACCTGCATCTCGCCACGCGGCCCTCCTACATTTATCTGACACAAACAGTAATAGTGTTCAACGTGGCGCACTCATTGACGTTACGCTACCCAGCAACATATATCCAATTTAAGTGCACCTTGGATTTAACTGACTGTTAACAAGTGTGGGTAAACAGTAAACTAGACACATCAAACGTGAAATTCGACAAACGGTGCGTCAAAAAGCAGCCATTGTCGATTTGCAATGTCTTAAACGGCATTGTTTTCACACTTGTTGTCATGGAGGAAAACAGTAAAGCAAAATGCAGGTGCAAAATATAGCATTCGTAACTCGTGGTAGTGGCTACAAAAAAGCAAGCATGAGCATGGCACCCTCATTAACGTTACGCTACCCAGCAACATATATCCCATTTAAGTGCACCTTGCTTTCAACTGTCTGTTACAAGTGTGAGTAAACAGTAAACTAGACACATCAAACGTGAACTGTTATATCAGTAAACAGACAATAAAGTAATATTTCACTGTTGGTACGAGAAGAAGCTGTGGACCTGACAAAATGTGACGGTTTTTTTAGCAAAATAAGACTGACATAATCTACACGAGACATCTCCTGGTCAGTCCAGGTTTGCACACAGTACCGAAGTACTTCCTTAACCCGTTACTGAAATACAGTAATTAATATAGGACGCTAGTACTCATCCAATACATGAATATTGTAATAATATCGGACGCTAGTAATCACCCAAGTCAGGAATACTGTAATAATATAGGACGCTAGTACTCACCCAAGTCAGGAATACTGTAATAATATTGGACGCTAGTACTCACTCAAGTCAGGAATACTGTAATAATAAAGGACGCTAGTAATTATCCAGATCAATAATACTGTAATAATATAGGACACTAGAAATCACCCAAGTCAGGAATACTGTAATAATATAGCTCGCTAGTAATCACCCAATACTGGAATACTGTAATAAGATAGGACGCTAGTACTCCTCCAATACAGGAATACTGTAATAATTAGGACGCGAGTAATCACCCAGGTCAGGAATGCTGTAATAATATAGGACGCTAGTACTCCTCCAATACATGAATACTGTAATAATAAAGGACGCTAGTACTCCTCCAATACAGGAATATTGTAATAATATAAGACGCTTGTACTCCTCCAATACAGGAATACGGTAATAATATAGGACGCTAGTAATCACCCAATACAGGAATACTGTAATAAAATAGGACGCTAGTAATCACCCAGGTCAGGAATACCGTAATAATATAGGACGCTAGTAATCACCCAAATCAGGAATACCGTAATAACATAGGACGCTAGTACTCACCCAATACAGGAATACTGTAATAATATAGGACGCTAGTACTCCTCCAATACAGGAATATTGTAATAATATAAGACGCTTGTACTCCTCCAATACAGGAATACGGTAATAATATAGGACGCTAGTAATCACCCAATACAGGAATACTGTAATAATATAGGACGCTAGTACTAACCCAAGTCAGGAAAACTGTAATAATATAGGACGCTAGTAATCACCCAATGCAGGAATGCTTTAAAAATATAGGACGCTAGTACTCACCCAAGTCAGGAATACTTTGATAATATAGGACGCAAGTACTCACTCAAACAGGAATACTGTAATAATAAAGGACGCTGGTAATCACCCTAGTCGGGAATACTGTAATAATATAGGACGCAAGTACTCACCCAAACAGGAATACTGTAATAATATAGGACGCTTGTAATTACCCAATACAGGAATACTGTAATAATATAGTGCTATATTTTTCCTTTCACCTTGTGAAGAACAGTAATTTACAAATAATGCTTCTGCTTGTGCTTAGTCTGATGATGAACTCTGTACCCAGCACTCCATCCAAGCAGCAGCAGTTGTTGTAGTAGCAACAAGAGTAGTGGAGTGAGTGAGTGAGTGAGTCACTATGGTTTTAATCCGCTTTTAGCATTATTCAAGAAATACACCAGATATGGGCTTCACACATAGTACCCATGTGGGGAATCGACCGCGATTTTCGGCAAGGCTACCCAACCACCCTAGTAGATGAAGTTGAAGATATTCTTAAATACGAAATGTGGGTTGATGTTAATCAGATAACCCGTCTCTCAAATATTGCACTTGAATATGCAATGAAAACATTTCCGTTGAACTTGCAATTAAATCATCGTCAAATCATATTGGTTAAACAAACAGTTAAATCATATCCGTTAAACAAACAGTTAAATCATACCTGTAAACAAAGCTAACAGCTGATTGGTTGAAGTGTCCTTCTCGCATACCTGTTAAACATGCTGCATTGGTCAGCTTCCTATATGATCATCTTGTCCTCACCATTTAGGAATAGGGACGTTTGTTTGTTTGTTTGTTTGTTTGTTTGTTTGTTTGTTTGTTTGTTTGTTTAACGTTTTACTCTGCAACATTCCAGTAATAAGGAGGAAGTAGGAAAATAATCGAGTCTGGACAAGACAATCTAGGGATTGACATCATGAGCATCGATCTATGCAATTGTGATACCATGACATACGTCAACCAAGTCAGCAAGCCCGATCAGCTGTTCCCATTCGTCGCCTGTGACTACAAGCACGTGTTGCTGAAGACCAATTCTAACCCGGATCTTCAGGAACAAGAAAGTCAGTGCTGACGTCAAAGACGTTAAGTCCACCATGATATATACTCAGGTCGGCATGGACATTGTGTCAGCACGGCTTCAAACGAAGGTCAAGACCATCCTCAGAATAAGAACAGATAACTGTGATCTACACACAAATAATACAAAGTAATAACAATAGCGTCCCTTTCTCGCTCCCTTCTGTTCCCCATACAGTCGAATCTCGCTTATGCGGGCACTTGCGTTTTCTCTGAACTGAACTGCACTTTAATATATCACACTCGGGCCGCTATCAGCGATATTAGATGTAAAGCATTGATACGTCAACATATACACTATATATCACTATATAAGATCATTCGAGTGTTATGCAGAGTAAAACTTGCATCGTATCCCGTCAGTGAATTCAGGTGAACGAACAGGCGATAACAAACTTGGTAAAAAATATTTTGCGATAAATTACCACCAGACATGCTGATTAACCATATAAATTGTACTTCCTGTTCTGTTTGACAATGATTTATATGCAGAGATTACCTTGTGGATATTCTCGTAAACTAAGCCGGAAATAGCAATCACCTGTGCACAAGGTTTCTCCCAATCTAGCGTTGATTCGATTTAAAAAAAATACCCAATAATACAAGTTCAAGTAATTTTGGTGCAATGATCGGAATAAATTGTATCGGAAATCATTGCTATATCAGGAGTAATACATTCAAATGTCGTGTTATTCTAGTTGAATAATTATAACCATAGCCGTAGCACTTAGGGGCGGTCGGGGAGCCTCGTGGTTAAAGCGTTCGCTCGTCAGGCCGAAGACCCAGGTTCGATTCCCGACATGGGTACAATGTGTGAAGCCCATTTCTGGTGTCCCCCGCCGTGATATTGCTGGACTATTGCTAAAAACGGTGTAAAACCATACTCACTCACTCACTCACTCACCGTAGCACTGTAGGAGAACTGATTGCTAATGTCGGACCTTGGATCCGGGTGAGCAGGGTTCTACTGTGTATAATATCATTGAAGAACAGTACGATGACTTGAGCTTTGTCAAATACCCTGTTGAGATCTTATATTGTGCATTTAAACATGTGACGGGGTGGAAGTTTTTGAGATTAATGAAGGAAGGAATATTTTGGGACATTCGCAGAGTCAATTGAGAAAGAGCAACCAAAGTAAGTCTAGATATAGTTCCAACCATTCTAAACTTGCTTCATTTCACCAAATTGAATATCTTGATGTATGTTAATTTAATAAAATGAAATACTGAAAGTCCCAATCCTAGGCCTCGATCAAAAGTCGTCTATCTGTTGATGTTGAAAATGGCTTAAGTTCAACTGTATGTCTATAGAAGATATGCTTTTAAGATGTGTTCTGAAACTGAAGCGTTTGAAGTGCTTGTTTGGTTTAATAAAGATTAAATCTTACTTCAGATGGCTTATTGTAGCGCAAAAAATATTACGTCAAGTCCTCTACAGTAAAACATCACATGCAAACTTTCTGTGGGTCCTTACACTTGCAAGACACTCTCCATTAAACAGAGCTCGTGAAAAGGATCCCAAATAATCCCCGCTAACACCAAGGGACATAGAGAGATCTGATCGGCTGCAATCTAGGAGAGGGGAAACCAAGCCCAGTAATCGCACGGTAGACCCCCTGGGAGGATCAACTACAGGCAGTTGGGGGGGGGGGGGGGGGGGGTGTTCAGGGTAGTAGAGAGTGAGAGACAACACCTAGAGCCACCGGCACAGGAAAGGAGTGAGTCCCAGGACGCCAGAGCGTTTACACCTCCTCTAGTGAATGTTATCGACAGCAAGGAAAGAGTCCACAGCAATCCAGACAGAGCAACAGACCACCCCCTAATTCTGGGAGGAGATAGGGGTGCGTCCAGGGCCTTGGACGATTTTACGACGCATCAACATCAATTGTCCCAAACAACATATGATAATGAGTTGGGAAATAACATTAGTTTTTTATTTTTCAGGAATAACTTCAAAGATTGAGGATACAGATACAATGAACTACTTGAACACTTTTGATGTGGTAGGCCTAACTGAAACATGGATAAAAGACATACCACAAGAACTTGAATCTATGTTTAAAGGTGGTATACAGCTACACCCAGATATTGTTAAAATATTTTTGCTTCTGTTTGCCGATGATGTCGTAATGATTTCGAGTACTGTACCCGGACTTCAAAGCAATTTTATGAACAATTTGGTTTAAGTGTTAACACAAAAATACCAAAGTTATTGTATTAAAAACCAGGGGTATGTTATCAAAAAAGGAGAAATGATTGTAGAAAGACAGTTATCTGGACGTAGTTACAAGTTTTTAATATTTGGGAGTACATTTTTCTATTATCAAATTATCTTGGAATTTTCATTCAATACAGGCTGCAACACAAGCAAAGAATTTCTCTGTGGGATACTTAAAAGTCTCAGATCTATTGAGAGTGTAATTTTTAATCCTTTTTTTTTTAATTTTTGACACAAAAATAAAGCCAATTCTACTACAGTCATGCCCCGCTTATACGGACTTCAGATATCCGGAAACCTCGGTTCCCGGACGATTTTCATTCAAAACGAAATAATTACTATATAAATTTACCCGTATATCCGGAAATTCAGTTTCCGGAACCGGACAGTCATTTTCATACACAAAACACTGAAATGCACACAAAATTGTCTCACTTATCCGGACAGTACACTTCCGCTGGTGGTAATCCTTTGATTCGTGAGAAGTCAATTAACCAAGTGACACTGAGTTACGTTTGAGACGAGCTTGTTTATTGTACATGTAATCCCCTTCGATGAATATGGCGCCTGTGGAGGTCAGAGGTCAAAGTTGTGTAAGTATGGCCTGTAAGTATGGCACTGAATTTGGACATACCATAGGAAAATCGACAATTGGTGACAGTTCAAACTTCCATGACACACTTTGTCATCTGTCATGAGTTGCATAATTGAAGGGAAGTAACTCTTCCAGTAAGAAGCTGGTTTCAGTTATACGGAAATTCGTTTATACGGACGAATTGTGAAATGACGCAAGTGTCCGTATAAACGAGGCACGACTGTATATGGGGTTTGGGGAGTACATCAGCTATAAATTGATTGAAAGGGTACACGTATATGCATGCAAAAGATATTAAGGAGTAAAGATAAACACCCCCAATGCAGTTGTATGAAATGATGGTATTGTATGACAAAAATGAAAAGCAAAACTGGGTTTCTTCAGTTAAAAAGCTCATTAATGATTTAGGCTTTGGTTATGCTTGGCAAAGTCAAAATGTAGATTGTCCTGCACATTTTGTGAAATTGTGTACACAAAGGCTCATAGATACGTACATACAACAGTGGTATTGTTTGTTAGCTTTATCGTCAAAATGTCAGTACTTTAGTTTGTTTAAAACACATTTAATAACTGCAGAATATCTTTGAAACCACTCTTGTACAAATATAGAATTGCATTTTCTAGATTCAGATGTTCATCACATGAACTAAATATTGAAACGGGAAGATATTTCAAAATCCAAAAGGAAATTAGATTATGTAAAATAAGTCATCTACAGCTAATAGAGGATGCGTACCATTTGTTCTCATTTGTCCATTTTACCAGAGTTTACGAATTATATACCGATCAATGTACATGTACCAATTTCCAAATATATATATGTTTAATGAATCAATGTCTTCTGCAAATATCAATGTACTGAAGCCCTTGACTGCGTATATATTCCATGCAATGAATTTTAGAAATGGTAATGACTTAAATAAGTAGAAATCAATATGTCTACCCCATATCCACAAAGATATGCACTATAGGCCTATGGCCTTTCATAATTTCTGAAATAAAGATTGATTGAAAGAAGACACTCTCTTGGTCTACTAATATTGTGTTTTCCGCCAAAACTGTATTGCCACACACACTGTGACTATTTTACAGCAACCTACAATTGAACATATAATAATTTTTAAAAAAATGTCCACTGACAAAGACTGAGAGGAATGATTCTGTTGATATTAGCTTCCGCGGTGATGCGGCGGCCGTCAAAACGTCAAATTCCACGTCGAGGTTCAATGAGGCGACAAACACATGTACAGGTATTTTAGCAGATACCCCATTTATTTTCTGTTTGACACAAAAACGAATGGTTGTCAGAGCGAAATCGGTTGTTAGTTCACTGCACATGAGTCAATACCTGCACGTTACACGGCTGTAAGTGGACGGTAATAGATCCCAAAAGGCTGCCTTCCTAAGGTCATGTAGACAGAGCTTGATGTGTGGCCATCTCGCTTCCCCCTCCATGGGTAGAACGCCAGCACCCTAGATTTGTCTCCGACTGATTGTTGTTTTCTGGCAAGTTCCTTTGCTGCTGCTTCAGCCTCCTCTGCCGCCGCCGCTGTTGCTGCTGCTGCTGCCGCCGCCATGCTATGCGCCTTCTCTCGCTTCCTCTCTAACTGTTCGTAAATGTAGGTCATCCTATTGGGTTGCTGCCATCGGCTGGCGTCTGGGACCAGGAAGAAAGCGTGTACCGTGACGGCACACATCGCCATCAACAGCAGAGCAGCGACGTTGCACACGACCATTGCAGTTTGTCTAGAAAGAGAAAACAATTTAGACAAGTGATTTAGTCTTGTGATGAACTTGCCTTGAATATTGAGGGTTATTACTGTTGACATACCGAAAAGAATATGCACATCTTGAGAAGCATCCACCACGGTATATAGATTACACGCACACACACACACACACACACACACACACACACACACACACACACACACACAAAAACCAACAACCAACAACACAAAAACAAAAAAACACATACACACACCCAAAAAAAACACACACAAAAAAACAACACAAAAAACAAAAAAAACACATACACAACACGCAGAGACAAAAATACAAAAAATAAAATACTGAATCTGACCCACCTACTCACACAAACATTGTCGTACAATGTTGATATTCCTGTAACACGCTACACATACCGTGATATATTGCTGGAATATTGCTAAAGGCGGCGTAAAACCATACTCACTCACTCATGTAGTGTGCTACATATATTAAGTTAGTCCGAATCTGACAAACCTACCCACACACACAAATTGCCGTATAATGTTGATTTCATGTAGAATGCTCCATATCCTATTGTTTCCTTGTTGAATTATAATTATCTGCTGCAATGACCAACTGCGCAAAGTACAAGAAACCAAAAAACATGAAATCCCACACCGAATAATCACTCTCCCATTTATATATCCCCGCTAACCATATACGTGGTCATGGCTCTTGTCATGTTGTACCATTACATACTGATAGATTTGTTTTTGTTTTCTGGTTCCCCTTAACTATTGGTAACACAAATTCAAAAATCAATGAGAGAGAGGGAGAGAACTACTATATAGTTCACTGAACTGACTACACAAAAAACCCGGTATATAACTTGGATATATGTTATTGGAAAATGTTGGTGGCTCACCAACTCACTCACTCACTCACTCACTCACTTACTCTCACTCACTCACTCACTCACTCACTCACTCATCACCATATCCGTCCACGTGGGTTTCACCATATTGGCAAATGTCTGAGACCTGCATCTCGCCAGGCGGTCCTCCTACATTTATCTGACACAAACAGAAAAAGTGTTCAACGTGACGCACTCATTGACGTTACGCTACCCAGCAGCATATAAATAACCCCTTAAAGTGCGCCTAGGATTCAACTGACTGTTACAAGTGTGAGTAAACAGTAAAATAGACATATCAAAGGTGAACTGTTACAGACAATAAAGTAATATTTCACTGTTGGTACGATAAAAAGCTTTTGACCTGACAAAATGTGACGCTTTTTGCAAAATAAGACTGACATAATCTACACGTGACATCTCATAATCAGTCAAGGTTTGCACACAGTACCGAAGTACTTTCTTAACCCTTTACTGAAATACAGTAGTTAATATAGGACGCTAATACTCATCCAATACATGAATATTGTAATAATATAAGACGCTAGTACTCACCCAATACTGGAATACTGTAAAAATATAGGACGCTAGTAATCACCCAATACAGGAATACTGTTATAATATAGGACGCTAGTACTCCTCCAATACAGGAATACTGTAATAATATAGGACGCTAGTACTCCTCCAATACATGAATACTGTAATAATATAGGACGCTAGTACTCCTCCAATACATGAATATTGTAATAATATAAGACGCTAGTACTCACCCAATACTGGAATACTGTAAAAATAGAGGACGCTCATAATCACCCAATACAGGAATACTGTAATAAGATAGGACACTAGTAATCACCCAAGTCAGGAATACTGTAATAATATAGGACGCTAGTACTCCTCCAATACAGGAATACTGTAATAATATAGGACGCTAGTAATCACCCAGGTCAGGAATGCTGTAATAATATAGGACGCTAGTACTCCTTCAATACATTAATACTGTAATAATAAAGGACGCTAGTACTCCTCCAATACAGGAATACTGTAATAATATAGGACGCTAGTACTCCTCCAATACAGGAATAGTGTAATAATATAGGACGCTAGTACTCCTCCAATACAGGAATAGTGTAATAATATAGGACGCTAGTACTCCTCCAATACAGGAATACTGTAATAATATAGGACGCTTGTACTCCTCCAATACAGTAATACGGTAATAATATAGGACGCTAGTAATCACCCAATACAGGAATACTGTAATGAAATAGGACGCTAGTAATCACCCAGGTCAGGAATACTGTTTTAATATATAGGACGCTAGTAATCACCCAAGTCGGGAATACTGTAATAATATAGGACGCTAGTACTCCTCCAATACATGAATACTGTAATTATATAGGACGCTAGTACTCCTCCAATACAGGAATACTGTAATAATATAGAACGCTAGTAATCACCCGAGTCAGGAATACTGTAATAATATAGGACGCTAGTATTCACCCAATACAGGAATACTGTCATAATATATAGGACGCTAGTAATCACCCAAGTCAGGAATACTGTAATAATATTGTACTTTACTTTTCCTTTCACCTTGTGAAGAACAGTAATTTACAGATAATGCTTCTGCTTGTGCTAAATCTGATGATGAATTCTGTACCCAGCACTCCATCCGAGCAAAAGGAGTTGTGGTAGTAGCAGCAAGAGTAGTGGAGTGAGTTAGTGAGTCACTATGGATTTTACTCCGCTTTAAACAATATTCAAGAAATACACCAGATATGGGCTTCACACATAGTACCCATGTGGGGAATCGAACGCGATTTTCGGCGTGACGAGCAAGCGCCTTAATACAAGACCACCCCACCACCCCAGTAGTTGTAGTTGAAGATATTCTTAAATACGAAATGTGGGTTGATGTTTATTATATAACCCGTCTCTCAACCCGCACTTGAATATGCAATAAACACTCTTTAAAAACAGAAACGCCAAGGTAGTATGTAGTTCATTGAACTGACTAAAAGATCCGGTATATAACTTGGATATATGTTATTGGAAAATGTTGGTGGCTCACTCACTCACTCACTCACTCACTCACTCACTCACTCACTCACTCATTCACTCACTCACTCACTCACTCACTCACTCACTCACTCACTCACTCATCACCATATCCGTTCACGTGGGTTTCAACATTTTGGCAAATGTCTGAGACCTGCATCTCGCCACGCGGTCCTCCTACATTTATCTGACACAAACAGAAATAGTGTTCAACGTGGCGCACTCATTGGCGTTACGCTACCCAGCACTATGTATCCCATTTAAGTGCACCTTGGATTCAACTGACTGTTTTCAGTGTGAGTAAACAGACTAGACATATCAAACGTGATATTCGACAAACGGTGCGTCAAAACGCAGCCATTGTAGATTTGCAATGTCTTAAACGGCATTGGTTTCACACTTGTTCAAAAATGTCATGGAGGAAAACAGTAAAGCAAAATGCAGGTGCAAATTATAGCATTCGTAACTCGTGGTAGTGGCTATAAAAAAGCAAGCATGAGCCAATAGTTTGTCATTAGACATTTTTAAGTTAAAAATTGCCGAGACTCAGCGCTGCCGATCGAAATATCGCCACAGGACGTATCCAAAGAGGGGATTCGCAGGCTTCTGTTGCACGCCACTTCAACGTCCACCCCAGCACCATTTGCCGCATTTGGGACCGATACACACTGTTCAGTTCCACTGCAGACTGTCCGAGAACCGGGAGACACAGAGTACCACCCCTGCACATGATAGCTACATTCGTCTGTTCCGGCCACGTCATCGCAATGCCACAGCTACGGAGACTGCAGGACGCATCCCTGGTTTGAGGAGGATATCGGACCAGACTGTCAGGAACCATCTTCGCGAGGCTGGAAACCGACCAAGAAGAGCAGATATCGTCCCTGTTTTGTAACAGATCCATGGACAGCGACGCTTGCGTTGGTGCCATACCTTACAGCCTGGGAATTTGAGAAACTAGAGAATAGTGTGGTTCAGCGATCAATCACGATTTCTTATTCACCGGTGAGATGGAAGACAACGTGTTTATCGTCCTCGAAATGAGCGTTTTGCCCCACATTGTGTACGTGAATGCGACAAATTCGGTGGCGGTAGTGTCATGGTGTAGAGGCCATATCCTGCACCACGAGATCTGGCTTTGTTCAGGTCCATAATGCCAACATCAATGTCCTTCCCTGGCCGTCGAGATCTCCAGATCTCAACCCAAATCGAACACGTCTGGGATGAACTCGATCGATGTGTACGTCAATGTCAGAACACGCCGCAGACACTCCAGCCAGCGCGTTACAAGCAGAATGGCGCAGAATTCCGCAGGACAGAATTCGTACACTTATACATTCAGTGCCGAGGAGATGAAAAGCCGAGATTGCTGAGTCACACGAGATACTGAGTTCAGCGCAACTTTGTGGCCTTATGTGACATGGCAATAATGGGTGGGTGTCTCGGCAGGATAAAGCCAACGGATAAACACGATATCCGTTGGAGTCATATGTGGATAGAGATGCAAATATCGAAGGTCAAGTTGTTACTCGTCGATCGGGGATCTGGAGAAACAATTGGGATAATTGCTATCATATATCAAAAGAATAGACTAACATACTGAAAATCAGTGTCTAACTGTGACGTAGCTAAGTCATTTTACAAGTTTTGGCAACTTGTGAGATATAAATTACGAAACAATATCTGTTTCCATATCTGTGCTTGTAGACATCTGCGACTTGGAACCTTTGCCACAAATAAACACAGTTTGTTTTGGCCGAAATATGTTCGAATTGTTACCTTGTTTCGTTTCGTCGCTTTGTGTACATCTGACTGCACTGCGTAACAATATGACAGGGCAGGCCGACTGTCAACAACGTCTGACTGTGGCCGTGGCGTTTCATAGACTAGGGTTAGAGTTGCTTCCCTTTGATAAAAGGCAGTTACTCTAGCGGACAGATCGATGGATTGCCGCGAAAGGCAAGTAAAAACAACTTTAGTAGGCAATTGTGGTTTTGCATACATGTAGTTACCCCACTGTATAAGAAACGTTTTCTGTTGGAACTATATCGGCTACTGTCAC